TTTCTATTTAACTTCGCAGTTGATGAAGTCATGGAAACAGCATTCGCTGGACACGACCTAGAAGGTGTGGAGCTACTTCCTGGTGAGCGACTTCTTGACTTGGAGTACGCGGACGATATCGCCCTAATCTGTAACAGCTCTCCCAAACGTGCTATGCAGCACTGGACCGATTAACACTGGCTGTCTATCGTTTTGGGCTATGCTTTGCTCCATGGAAATGCAAAGTACTTCTCCAAGATTGGCAGGGATCCAACCCTGCGCTAACACTTGGTGGTGATCAGCTAGAAGTGATTCAGGAATTCAAGTACCTGATTAGCTCTAGTAGCGCCCGTGGGATCGAAGATGACGTTACGAAACGTATAGCAAAAGCTCGAGGTGTATTTGCCAATCTGGCGCAGACGCGACATTACCCTCGTCCTGAAGGGCAGAGTGTGTAACGCAGCCGCCGGTTCAACCCTCCTATATGGTTGTGAAACCTGGCCCATCAGGTCGACAAACATAAAAAGGCACGTAACATTCAATCATAGCTGCCTTCGCAGCTTAGCTCATGTCTGCTGGGAACACCGCGTGAGCAACGAGCGTGTTCGGCGTTGCAAATTATGTGCAGGAAGGGCTAGTGAACCACTCAGCACCAGTACATCACGTACGAGGCTCCGATGATTGGGCCACGTGTTGCGCATGCCAGCACACAGACGCCCACGACGTGCATTGTTTGTGCGCCAGCGGTGGGGTTGGAAGAGGGGGGCAAGCGATGACTTGGTCGATAGGAATGAAAACCCTTACTTCGAAACCGGCGTAGGTTGCTGCATCCCGACTGCCTGGCTGGGGTCCTAAAGACGAGGAACATGTTTGGTTGGACACACTTGCTGATATGGCTAGGAGCCGGCCCCAATGGTGTTTGTGTAGTGAGATTCTTTGTCGATCATTATTTCTTTTAGGTTCCCCCTCCAATCCCGATCTCATGCAAAACGCATAATATAACATTTAACATCATCTTTCGTTAATGTCAGATTTTCCATAATGTCTTTTAATTGTCTTTCTCTGGGTTTTAGATGTGTTTTGTTCAGGAATGAGGACGTCTGTTGAGAAATAGTGTATAATAGAGTTTCTTTGATCGCTCTGCTTCTCAGCATGAGATTCGTTTATGGATGTGGAAAGTTGAGATAAAGCTCATTCTGTCGTCATGGCAGAATCTGTTGACAGAACTGAAACGGCTGACTGATTCACTTCATTGTCGTCTTGCCGTAGGCCTTACACTTGTGCGGCTTGCATCGTGCGCTGTTGATGTTGCTTGAACATTGTTCACATATTCTACAGATTCATGCACAGAGGATGGAGTTTTGGAAGAGTCAAACGGCATGATGCCACATTTGCTAAATCCCGATAAAATATTCCTTTGCTCAGTCACTTTCCCCTAACTTCTTCAGAAGAAGAGGAAATAGTTCTTTGGACAAGGCTATACCTAGGTTCTGCCTGGTAAAGTTAATAAGAATTTTCGTCCACTCTGTCTTTATTGGTCCATAGACACACAAACCGGAGGTTGGAGCAAATGGGTTGAATTTGATGGAAGTCTCACAATCAAACTACATTTTGAATTGCTGCTCTAATGACTTTAATATTTAATGTAAAGCATGTCCATCAACAATTAACCGAGCAGCTCTACCTTCTGGTAGCAATGGGATAAAAAGGTTTATAAACCAGTCACTAAAACAAGTATTGTCCATCCAACTCTTTTCAGAGACATTGCATCTAACATTGTCAGGTCTATTTTGCGTCTAAGCAACTCTATTTTTGGCCCCATAAAGGATATATGAGGGAAGTATTGTCCCATCAGCTCGAGCACATCCTTGTAATTTGCTAGAATTTCTCCCTGAGTCGCCAATGACACAAAAATGGTTTTTGATCCCCTTTTCACAAATCAACCGCTTAGGGTCGAGTGGAAAGCCACTCTCATCAACGTTGTAAACTCTTTCGGGCATATTCATAATGCTATTGATTGTGAGGGTTTCATTTTGCAGCTGAAATCACTCTTCAAATGTCGGTTTATTTGCAGCTAACTGGACCTTTGATTTCTGTAGCTGCTTTGGAGTTCCGCATGTCAGATCCGGATGTCTCTAAAAATACTGTATAATCAATCTCAACCAGGAACATTCTTCTCAAAAGGAACAGTCCTATCTGGACCAACAGAAGTAATAAAAGCACACACAATTTCTATTGTCCCTGTGCATGTGAATCCAAACCCCCCATTGGGCAACAAGTTTTAAACAACTGGAAAGTCCTGCTTCTGTGAGAACTATTTTTCTATTAGCTCCCATTTTGTTGTATTCTCCTTTCACGTGGGCTCGAATCGTCGCCTTTTTCAAGTTGTACAATAGCAGCTTTCTCGTACCCCATGATAACTTTTCTAACTTAAGCAACGGCTTGTTCCATTGCAGCTGTGTCATATGCTTCGCTTTTACGTTTGTAATTTCGAACCATTCGAAAACTCGAAAAGAAAGCAGTATTAGACTACTCACATCCAAAAAACTCACAAGTAAACATGAGTTAAATGTACACTGTGACGAGTGGAATTGCCCCACGAGATTTTAATTTGGGGTGCGTAATTGCCCCGACATGCTAGTAATTTGTCACTCACGTAGGTAAAAGCAGATCATGAGACAAAGAATTTAAACGTGAACAATTATTAACACTATAACCATATTAATCTATATTACTCGATTTCTGGCAATATAATGAGTTTTAAGACAAGTATAGACTTTTAATCAATGGAACATGTCTAGTTACATGCAACTGACTGCATTGCTCATGTATTCTATCTCTAGCCGAACACTTGTACGTGGTGCTGCTCGTATGTAAACGTGAAGCTGGCAAAACGGTGTCACTAAAATGGATGGTCGCTGCACTGACCCAAATCACCTTCCATGTAAGTAAAAACTATATAACTAGAAAATGTGTATAATTACCCTCAGTGCGGGATTACCCCATACCATACCATACCAAATGCTACGAGTAACTATTAGGTACGATAACTTAGTGCAAATGCCATCGGGTAGGGAATGACTGAGACTGTCTGCCGAGGACTTTTGTCGATGCGCCAACCGGGGAGTATCAAACGGCTTTTAGACACCCACCAGGACCGTACAATTATACTGGACTGCAAAGGCTATGTGGGGGCTATTTGGTCGCGACGACATACGCATTCTCTATAACACAATAATTTCGATGACTTCCTTGTTTTTATTCGACATGCGTTCTGATGAAACTGGCTGTGTCTGTTGTTATTGTGTTGTTGGAGGCGCGACAGGATGGACCCAATGTCTTGGAAATACCAGAAAGAAGGGAAAGGAAGCGCTGAGGAAATTTTTCTGGCACTCCGGTGGCAATGCGTAACGTTTCCTTGGGACTTCTTTCGGACTCTCAGTTTACCGTCGCCAGAGTGCCAGCAAACCCTTAGCGATGAAAAACGGTATGGGTAAGTGGCGCCTATTTCTTGACTCCGATTCCCATTCTGAATATTTTCTGTCGTAGCTTTTTCCGGACGGAAACCAGTCACCGGATTGGAATCGGAAAGAAGCCGGTCACTCCGCGGACACTCGTGCTGTCAGGAACGGCTGTGATCGGCCTTCAACGTGACAGCAAGGCGTAGATGTCCAGTTTAACTGTCATCGGTCCCTTGAATCTTCCGGGCTTGCTGGAAAGCTCTGAGGACAGCACACAATCAGCCTCATTGGGAGCGTTGAATATATACCCTTAATTGACTGTTCAACAATATATATATATATATATATATATATATATATATATAAGGTCATCCTAACCTCAGCCATGAATAGGCCGAATTAAGCAGTCACGCGTCCGTTCCTGCTAACATAGGCATCCAGATACGCAATAAATCAAATATTTTGTGCATGAGACTCGGTGCTCAGTAGGGAGTTGGTGGCTTTGTAACCACTCAGAGTTTCGACGGTGCAGAACACATGTCAAAGAAAGTGGTCACACCGGAGTTTTTCAAGGAGCAAGACGATGTCAAGTGTACAGCCCAGATCAACCGGTCTGCTGCTGGACAGAACCTCAAGGCCTGTACAGTTAGATTTCCGTAAGAGAACACACTATGTTCAATTCAGTTCAGTTGAACAATTACGAACCGAGCACCGAAGTGCGGTGGATCCAGTTACCACGACTCAGGCTAGTAGAATAACAGTAAATAACAACAGGAAGTAAATGACTAATTGGAAGGTCAATTTTGGACTACACGTTGTGTCAATGGATGGCGACGCGCAATCTCAATGTGAATCTTCATCACTGCGATCACTGGGACCGTAGCCGAAGCAGATGAGGTTAAACGCAAAGACAATACGGTGAAAATGTTTTTAAGGAAGTAGTGCGTTAAACTAATCAGAATGGAATAGAAAGTAACAACCAGATGCAAGAAACCGAATGCAGGAACGCCACTGACTGCATGGCTGCGCCATGTGTGATACGGTTTCTAACCACTGCCGTCGAGCATCCCGGGGCCCCACCCACCAGCCTGACCTAATCTCTCAGCCAATTTCTTCATGCTTATAGGCCAAGTCATCGACTGGCCAACTCGCAGTTTAACCCAAATTGTTGCATTGACGGCGTAAGATGCACACCGAGAAAGTCGGTCAAAGGGCATACGGAGGACATGACCTATCCAAAATAAGCAGCTGAAGTTCAGTGGAGGAGGGAGTGTGACAACTCTACTTGTCGTCACAAAGGTATCCAAGAGCTCATCGTAAACTTTATAGTGGTCACAGACGTTCGAGTGTATGGCAAGTAAACTAGTTACATAGTTTGAGGGAGCCCCATTCTAAGTGAGCATAACTAACAGAGTTAACTGACTAACTGTATATGGCAAGTTCTCGAAATCGAGGAACAAGGTTGTGGGTGGTGCTGTGTTAACGTCGGAAATGGAGTGAAAGAGAACGACGGTCATTGTGGAGATCACGTGATAAACAAACAAATACCAACGCACTTACACACACAAGTCATGATGGTGGGGGAGCCATGCGGGAGGTAGACGCTCGAGGACGGGAAATGAGTGCTTATTTTGCATGAAGAGCCGCGGTCTTCGGGGAACTCATCCCAGTGGCATCCTGTTAAAGGTGGCGGTGGTGGAGGATAGGTGGGAGGAGGCGGAATCGGATACAGTGAGTTAGAGACTGTCAGAAAATGGCTACAAGCAGCAGACTGGATAGTGGTTCGGCAACTAGACTCTTCCGACTGTGGGGAGAGGCTCGAAAGTACATCTGTATGTCGGAGTGTAACACCACTTCCCATGTTTCGATCGCTGGATGTCGACGGACATTGGCTGGTGACATTCTGGGACATGCTCGTGGATCCATATCCAAAAGCAATCTGAAGTGGAAGGAGAATTACGAAGTCGACAGACATAATTGATAATGGAGATACCTAGGCATAATGACGAAGGGATACACTCATTTACGTAAGTTTCGTATCCTAGCAGCGGTAGAAGCCATTATATGTAAGATGAACAAAAGTTTGTGGTATAGATGAAAGTACGCCGGTGAAAGCGGAAAGTAGGCCAAAGAGTATAGAAAACAAGGGGGGCACTGGTGTACGTATGTACGTCATGGTTTACTCTCTAACGGTAGGAGTGAATCAGTGCAAACGTGTGGGTTGATACACAATTGCAGTGTATATTGAGTTCAGGTAAAGGAAGCGTACTTAAGCACGGTCTTCGTGTTCTAACTTCACAACTTCGCTTGTGAGGAGAATAAATGCTTCCTATCGAAGAGTGAGTTACGAAACGCAGCACATTTACATTGCGCCACAACAGATTTTATAGCATCTTTCGCCATATTAAGGCAGATGTCAATGCGCATGTTCGAATGAATGGTATTTCAGTTAGATAGAGAAAAATTCCATCCGGGTGGAACTGGGGAATCACGTTACACTTGGCCAGCCTATGGCTCCTCAGGCAGAAACTGTGTACACTGATCTATGATCATCATCATCAACAGCAGTACATCAGCCATTTGAACTGATGCTTCGCTGCCATACAACCATGAGGACCTATGAAATAAAAATTAAGAAGAGGGAGAGAAGGGGGACTTACCTGAAAACCTTAATGCCCTGAGCAAACATTCAGAGTCAAGGCGCCTACACCTTGTGTTGACAACATACCGTCACAAACAGCTGGCTATCGTGCAAAGATAAGGCGGCATCGGCGAGACAGCTTCCTTGCGGCTTTCACTGCCACGCGTCATAATCAGCCATTACTCCGCAGATAACTCAGCACCAAACACACTTTAAACAGGAAATCCGATTAGGAGACGGCAGCAGACGCGCCACTGGTGTCTACTGCGAGTCATGTCCTGTAAAGTCATGAGCCAAGCACAAGGCGAGTCACGTGGACTCCCCAGCCTGGAAGGCGAGACGGACCAACGGTACCCAGTTTGGTCGCCAGTGACTTCATTTCCCGCTGCCAAGTCAACTTCTGTCCACCTCGAGCCTTGCGCCACCCTACACCTGGCAGACTAAACAAGGCCCTCCTAGGTAAGCGGTGACCAGGCATGCATCGCACGTGCCCGAGCCAACGCAACTTATTCAGTGCTATCTGTTGTTCTAGGGTGCTAGCATGATTATCACTACCTAGTACTCGCCTACGCACATCATCGTTGCGGACCAGCTGGTGCCATCCGACACCAACAATGATGATCAAAGACTGGAAGGCGCCTCAGATCTTCAGACCGAAGGGGACAAGTTTCACTACCATGGAGCAGAATGGCCCTCACTGTGGCCTTGTATACACAGCCTTTCAAACGGAGGGAAACTCCCTTCTGTCGCCAAAGATGACGAAGCTTCAAGTAGGCAGCTCTGGCCTTTGCAATGCGTGAGCTCACGTCAGTTTCTATGCGCCCATCATTGCTGATGCAGCTGCCTAGATAAATGAAATTATCAACCACCTCAAACTCATCGTTAGCAAGGGTCAAGGGCTCATCAAGTGACTGGTGGTCCTGCAGCAACACTTTGTACTTTGAAGGTGCGAAGTGCATACCAAATAATGGAACCACTCTAGACGGGCTATTCAAGTTTGATTGTGTCACCGCAACATCGTCGAAAAGCAAGACGATATCGTCCGCATAATTAAAATCAACTAACCTTTCACCAGGCAGCCCTTCAACGCCTGCATCGTTGGATTCCGTCAGGGAACACTCCATGATAGAATCCACGACGAAATTGAACAAAAATGGGGAAATCGGACAACCCTGACGAACGCCACTTGTAGTCGAAAAGCTATCCGATAGGATACCATAGACCCTGACGCGACCTGTAGTGTTCGAGTATAGAGAACGAAGGATGTTCACATATTTCGTGGGAACACATTTTCGCGCAAGTAATTCGAACAGAATCGATCGATCGACTGAATCGAACGCACTCTTGAAATCGATGAACACAGCTATTGTCGGTCTGCGGTATGCGTGGCGCTGCTCTAGCACCTGACCCAAAGTAAATATATGGTCTATACAGCCACGTCCTGGGCGAAAACCGACCTGCTCTTCCCTAATCCGAGATTCCCGTTCTGTAGTGAGGCGACGAACGACAATCGAGACCAGTAATTTTGTGACAACTTGCGTTAGGCTAATACCCCTGTGGTTAGCACAGTCTGTGCGACTGCCCTTCTCGTATATTGCCACTATAATCGATTCGCTCCAATTATCCGGGACACGCTCTTCGTTCCAGGTACGTTCGAATAGGGAGGTCAGTGCTTTGCAGAGGACCTCACCTCCATCCTTAAATAGTGCAGGTGGGAGGGAATCCGGGCCAGCGGCACGAAAACGATTGAGGGCTGTGATCGCGTTTCGGACCTCGGCCTCCGACGGAGGCTCTAAACTAACCGTCCATGGCACGTCCTGCATCACCTGAGCAGGAAGAGGTCAGGGAGCAAAGATATCCCCGCGGAATCAGATTGCAACAATTAACGCGTTCTGCCAGCCGGCTGCTCAAGCAAAGTCTACACAAGGGTCGCGAGGCATGGTGGTCTGAGTGTGCTTTAGAGATGGAGACCGATGCCTTCTCTGGCAACACTCGCAAGCTTTTCCAACTCATTCGGTCCACTGGCCTCAGGAAGCCTGGTGTCAGTGAGGTCATTTGCGAGGTGGATGAGTCTCTGAACACCAACCCACAGAGGCGTATGGACCGCTGGGCCGAGCACTTTCATTTGCAGTTCAACTGACCTCCACCGTCCATCAGTACATGCAGTACACCTTGTTGTCCACCCTGGCTCATAGCAATGAACCCATCCCATGAAGCGTAAGTCGGCCTCGAGATTCGAAGCTTGAAGCGGTTCAAGGTTGCCGGCTCAGACGGACTTCCTCTGAAGCTGTTCAAGTGCGGCGACCTGGTGATAATTACCCAGCTGACCACGCTGTTCGGAAAAATCTGGCATGAAGAGAAAGTGCCTTCCACTTGAGGCGAATCAGTTATTGTCCCGATTTTCAAGAAAGGCGCTCGCACTTCATGTGTAAATCATCGCGGGTTTAGTCTTATTTCGGTTGCCTCCAAGCCGTTGGCATCCATTCTGCTCCATAGGCTATCCCCAATACGTGAATCATCCTACCGTGAAGAACAAGCTGGTTTCCGTCCTGGCCGCGGATGCGTGGAACAAATCTTCACGCTCCGCCAAATCCTCGAACATTGGCACGTTTATCACAGGTCTGCTATCGTTGCATTCCTAGACATACATGCCAGCTTTGCCTCCTCGATCGACCTGCTTTATGACGTTGCTTGCTAAAAAACGGAGTGCGAGAGAAATATACCGCCAACTCACGAGCACTTTACCTTCATACCTCCGGCTGATTGAGGGTCTATGGCAAGCTTTCCTCGCAATTCGCTGTCAATAGCGGTGTGCGACAGGGCTGCCCTATGTCTCCGTTCCTCTACAACTTCGCAATCAAAGACACTCTGTCAAATGCTCTAGAAGGTTTCCAACATTTTGGCTTAGAACTTCTACCGGGTGAGCGCGCGACCGACTTAGATTATGCTGATGATATCGCCTTACTTGGTGACGATCCTCAGGGTATGCAACTCATTCTGGATCGTTTGGCGGTTGAAGCATCTAAGTATGGCATGAGTTTCGCCCCATCGAAGTGTAAAGTACTGCTCAAGGATTGGCTTTCACCTGCGTTCGTACTTACTATCAAAGGTGCACCAGTTGAAAAGGTAGATTGTTTCATCTACCTTGAGAGCTGTGTTTCTGCTGACGGCACTATCAACAAAGACGTTTCTCATCGAATCGACAAAGGTCGATCAGCATTTGCCAATCTGAGGCACTTGTGGCGTCGTTGCGATGTCTCATTCTCGCGAAAGGACCGCGTTTATAGTGCATCCGTTCGCTCAGTATTGTTGTATGGGAGCGAATCCTGACCGATTCGCGTGGAAGACATGCGTCGTCTTTCTGCCTTCGATAACGGTTGCTTAAGGAGGACCGCTCGTGTTTGGTGGCAACATCGAGTTAATAGTAATGACGTTGGACTTCTCATCTTGGATAATGTGGGATTCCCCTCAACAAACTGGTTTTGTTGCGCCAGTTGAAATGGCTCGGTCACGTCTTACGCATGGCACCTGAGCGTCCACCCCGTCGCGCTCTATTCGCTCGTCCAGGACCTGGCTGGAGGCGACCGCGTGGTGGTCAGCTTTCCACGTGGCGACAGCTCATGAAATCGCTAACGTCGTGTCTAGTAAGTAATGTAATGTGTCAGCTGTACGCCGTAACGGCGCTTCGCTGCCGCGCGATCACCAAAAATGAGAAGGACCAATGGCTTAACACTCCTGAAGGCATGGACCGTAAACGTAATCAGTGGAAGCGTTAGGTACCGTCCTGTATTGAAGCACATTTTTAATACTTCAAACACTGAGAATGACAAAAAAAGAAAAATCGGTATGTGAAAAAAACCAAAAGTGTTCTATTTTGTCAAAATGTTCCTATCTACCTGCGGCATATTAGCTTAAGTGTGTTGCTCGCCTGCAACTACTATGTCCCGATGATTATGACGCGATGACTGTCCCTTATCCACTGACCTGCATGGTTTTGTGTTAGCGCAACTACTACTAGTACTACTACTACAGAGTTGATTAGTAGAAAGTGCAATAGCCCCTCAGTCTCGAATAGTACACAGAGCGGTTATGTTGGATGCGAAGAATCTAGTGCGAATCCGCCCTCGCTAATCGAGAGTACAAACCTCCGAAAGTGCATGAGAAGGTTATACCGTCGAACCCCACTCTTCCAATACTAGGAATGTCGCACGAGAAATTGTCACGCTAGCTAGACAAATTAGTCAAACTCATTCGATCCGGACTAACTGGGCAGTTTTAAAGACAAGCTTGAGTTCCAT